GCGCAGTGCGGCTCAGGCTGCGGCAGCGGTCTTCACCTCCCGCCTGCGCACGGCGCACCAGGCCTCCTCCTTCTCCCCGTCGCCTGCGCCTTCCTCCTCCTCGCCTCCGCACCCCTTCCTCCTCCTCGCCCCCTCACTCCTCCCTCTTCCTCCCACCTCACTCCTCCCTCTTCCTCCCCCTCCCCCCCACCCCATCCCTCCTCCCTCCTCCTCGTCCCTTCAGCTCTTCTCCGCCATCCCCTCCCTCGCCCCTTCTCCCTCTCTATCCCTCCCTCGATCCCTCACTCCCCCTCCTCATCCTCCCTCGTCATCCTGTTCCTTTTCCTAGAGCACCCTTCTCCACACCAAGACGCCACACAATCACATTCGATCATCTTCCTCCTCCTTCCTCCTCTTGCTCTTCACTTCCTTCTCCTGCGAATCCTCCTCCCTTTGCGTTCTCTCCCGTATTTCCTCCCCCTCCCCCTCCTCCTCCTCCTCCTCCTTCTCCTCCTCCTCGTCCTCCTCCTCCTCCTCCTCCTCTGTCTCTCTCTTCTGCCCCCTGTCATCTTCTTCTTCGCCGTCCTCCCTCCTGTCTTCTCCCTCTTTCCTTTTCCCTTTTCGAGTTTGCCCTCCAGACCTCTCCCAGAGCTCTCTTGTCGGCGAGGATCGCGAGGCGAACCCAGCCACGGAGACGAGGCCCCCCCCCACCCCGCGACGCCCGAAACTGATCAACTACACCTTTGTCTCCCCGCCTCCCTCCTCGGACACCAGCTGCGCCGCACTCAGGCAACAGCTTCGCCGCACTCAGCGACGGATGGTTAGGGCGATCATGGGAATTCCGGGACGGCGCACAAACATCACCCCTACGCATGCACACCACCCCAACGGCGGACAACCGCAGGAACCGCGACGCAGACAGCGACCAATCCGACGTTTCCAGCGACCACGACGCATCCAGCGACCCTCCATCCCCTATCAGAGCAAGCTAGCACACCAGAAGACACCATTGACGCACACCAGACCCACGAGCAGACGATGGACGACAACGAGGCCTGGTCCGACTTCATCCGACGAAGCACGTACAGAGCCGAGGAACTCATGAGCAAAAACGACATCCCTGACGTAGAACAGGTCCATCGAACAAAGGTTTGACACTGGGCCGCACGCGTTGCAGGCCATCCGCAGAACCGATGGACACACCGAGCGTTGAATTGGAACCCCAGTCTCGACGCGAAACAAAAGGTCACCGTCATCATGGAGGCCAAAGGCAGCGGTGGGACGAAAACGTACGAATGTTTTTGCAAGGCTTGCATGCAGGCGCCAGAGACGAAGCCACGGGCAGCGATACCAACGACGCTGTCCCCATCCTTCACGATGCCTCCACTACGGCAGCAAAAATGCAAGATGATTGACGGCGGCGACGGACACGACGTGGTGGGACTCGCTTGAGAACATGGTCGTTGCACACAGTTGTTGAGGGCTCAAGATCATCAACACCAGCTGCACCAATCACCACTCCGAGCAGCTGGAGCCAGCACCACCGGCCACAAACACCGACAGCAACACAACAGCACCACCAGCATAACGCTCCAACTGCCAGCGACCCTCAACGGTAACAGCCAGAACGCCAACCGCACCATCTCGATGATGATTCGGTCTGTGAACACCCTCAGCCACGCCCTCTTCTTGCCCCGGTGCATACGCATGTTCTTCCGTGCCTTCTCCGTGCACCGGTTCCGGAAGATTTTCGTCTACGATTCTCATTCGCACACGGCATGCTGCCGCGACCTCGTGCGCCCTGCCCAACAGGGCCTGGGCACACCGGTGTGCCCGACTCTGGCGCCTCCGCTCCAGCTCCGCTCCGCTCCTCCCTCCGGCGAGCCCCTCCCAGCTCCTTTTCAGGACGCGCACGGGGCGGATCAGACCGCCTCCGTGGTCTGCATCATCGACTTCCGCACGGGGCAGCAGACCTACCAGTCCACTGTGGAGGCGCGGTGGCCCTCCTGCCTCCCTCCCCCCCCCCTGTCCGGGAGAAGCGAGGAGAGAAGAATGGAGGAGAGAGGCAAGCTGGGTGCGCTCGCGCCACATCTGACATCCTATAATTATCCGATCCCTCCCATCCCATCCCTTCCCCAGTGCACTGCTCTTTTCTGTATCCGCGGACGCGTGCCAACGCCGACCTGGAACTCCAACGACAAGACCCTATCCGTGTTAGGCCAATCGGAAGATGGGAGCTGCGTGCATCGGATGAGGAGGAGGAGGAGGCGGAGGAGGAGGAGGAGGCGGAGGCGGAGGAGGAGGTGGGGGGTGAGCAGGAGGAAATGGGGAGGACGCAGAAGGAGAAGAACAAGCACGGCAGCAGCAGCGGGAGTTGAAGTGGAACGAGCGGGATGAGCAAGAGGACCAGGGGAAGGCGGTGGAGGGGCAATGAGGGGGCGACAACGATAAACAAATATTCGGATCCAGAAAAGTGGCCTACGCTGGGGCAGGAGAGAGCTCCATCCAGAACGACGGGGGCAAAGCGCTAATCCGAAAAGGAGGCTCTCGCTGCAGCCGGAACACCATCTTGAAACTCAGAAAACAATCGGATTGAGCATGAAGAACATAAGGCCACCATTGTCCAATGCTGCATGTAAAAAAGCAATGCGCGGAGAGAATCGACAATTTTCCGGGCGGAGTTAGGGGAGAGAAGGATAGTAGTATTCACACCGTGCCATTGTAGAGAGCATGGAGAAGAGATAGACACGAGGAGAGAGAAGGAGGAGGATGAAGATGAGGATGAGGAGGAGGAGGAGGAAGAGGAGGAGGAGGTGGGCGGATAAGGCGGATAAGGAGGAGGAGGTGGAGGAGGTGGAGGGTGAGGAGGAGAGAGGATGTGGTATCTTTTTGGGGTCCCTTTGGAAATCCTCGCCGCCACTGCGGTCCGCCGCGTACTTCGATTGACGTGGGAAGTGGGAATGGGGCGAGGGGGGAGAGGGAGGAGGTGGGTGGATGATGAGTAATAGGCAGAGTAAAACGAGGAGGAGGAGGTGGAGGAGGATTGGGGATGAGGCATGAGGGCTGGATGAAGAGAAGGGGAAGGTAGTTGGGCGATAGATGGGGGGGAGAAGGAGGAGGGATGTAAGGGCATGGGGTCAGGAAGAGGGAGGGAGTCGAGCGAAGGAAGGTAACATCAGCACGGAGGTAGGGGGAATGAGTGTGGCTGGAGGAGGAGAAGGGAGGGCAAGGTGAGGCAAACGGAGAACAATAGGAGGGAGCCTAAAGAGGCAGGAGGAGGATGAGCCGCAGGAGGAGGAGGAGGAGGAGGAGGAGGAGGCGGGAGGAATGAAGAACCGACGTCAAGAAGTCAGGAATCAGGGGTGGTGGAGGTGGAGGAGGACGAGGATGATGATGATGATGCTGATGATGATGGTGGTGATGATGATGAAGCTGATGATGATGATTCTGATGATTATGCTGATGATGATGCTGATGATGATGAGGAGGAGGATGAGGAGGAGGAGGAGGAGGACATATACCCCTGTTCCGTATCCACTGTTCGTAGGGTGGGGAGGCGCGCTTTGCGAGAAGTTTACCTCTTCGGAGAAGTTTGAGTCTGGGTGTGAGTTTTACCTTCAGGAGGAGGAGGAGGAAGAGGAGAAGGAGGAGGAGGAGTAGGAAAAGGAGGAGGAAGAGTAGGCGGAGGAGGAGGAGGAGGAGGAGGAGGAGGAGGGAGGAGGAGGAGGCGGAGGAGGAGGAGGAGGTGAGAGGAGGATGGCGGTAGAGAGGAGGTAGGGGGAGGAGGAGGAGGAGGAGGAGGGAGGAGGAGGAGGAGGAGGGGAGGAGAGGAGGAGGAGGAGGAGGAGGAGGAGGAGGAGGAGGAGAGGAGGAGGAGGAGGAGGAGGAGGGGTGGAGGAGGAGGCAGGAGGAGGAGGAGGAGGAGGAGAGAGGAGGAGGAGGAGGAGGAGGAGGGGAGGGAGGAGGAGGAGGAGGAGGAGGAGGAGGAGGAGGAGGAGGAGGAGGAGGAGGGGGAGGAGGAGGAGGAGGAGGAGGAGGAGGAGGAGGAGGAGGAGGAGGAGGAGGAGGAGGACACGCGCGGACGTGCACGCGCGCTCTGCCCCCACGCGCTCGGGCGGGCGCATGCGCCCTGCGCAATCCCCGCCGAGAGGTGAGCTGCCTCGCGATCGGGTCCCTGGCGCACGACCCGACGCAGCTGCTGCTGGGGGCGCACGACGGCTCCGTGTCGGTCCGCCGGGGGACGCCAAGCACCCGCCCAGGCACTGCCAGGATGATCGGCCGAGCCTGACCACCTTCCCCAGACCCCCTCGAGGCATGACAAAGTCAAGACGGGAGCTTTCTCGCCATTTTCGGCCTCTGGAGGCTCCCACCGGGCCCCGGGGCCGTCAACAAGTCCCGGGGCATGGGTCGGAACTTCTGGGGGTCGACGTTGTGAAATAATCATGGCGTCGGGTCTGGGTCCAGGGCCCACCTCGATCCGATCGGTCCGATGCGATATCGGTTCCGGCGAGCCCGATCCGGTTCCGATGCTCTGACCGCCCGATGCCGACGGCGGCCGCGCACTTGCGCGGCGCCGCTGCGCATCCTGGCACACCCGATCCGGCTTGGTCTCGACGTTCCGTGCGCAGCCTGGCCCGACGCACGCTCCGATCCGAAGTCGATTGCCCGATTCTCATGGCACCCAGCCCCTATCAGCCGAAAAGGCAGGTCACCGACCAGAATCGGTGACCGAAAACGTGCCCGAAGTCGTGACCGAAAACGTCGTGTGCCCGACATTGTGCCCGAACTCGAAGATTGTCTGGTTTTCGAAGCAAACACTTCGGTCACACACTCGGGCGCGGTCGGGAAGATTCGGGCGCCCGATTCGGTCTCACTCGGGCATATTTTCGGCCACAGTGTCGGTCACGGCGCTTCCCCGCCAGAGACGAGGCTAGGACGTGGGCTCCTGGGACTTCTCGATGCCTGCCCTGGGGGCAGGTGCCTGATGCTGAGTCGATTCCCCAGATGGCCCCCAGGCCAAGAGCTGGCCTCCAGGTGCCCGAGAAGGGGAATAGCGAAACCGACCGCCCCACCTTTGCTCCGAGCTGGATCTCCACTGGGGCATCGAGAGATCGAGAGTTTCCTCCCGCCCTCGCCTCCCAGACCCCCGACGTGGTGACTCTCGTCGCGACGTGGGCCCGGGAAGCCTCGACCAATTCCCCAGGGCCAGCCTTTCGTCCCGAGTCGCCCCTTGCTGGCCCCGGGGGCCCGGCAAGGGCACCCCCCAGAGACCGAGGACAGGCAGGGCATCCGCTGCGCGAAAGGCTTAGGTCGGGCATGTCCTCCTACAGGTGGATTTTGGTTGGACGCGAAATAGAACTCGGCGGTGGACAAGTTCCTTTAGTAAACCACCCCTTAGTGAAAACGGCCTGGGACCGAAACCGACGGACCTGGACCCGCAAAAATGAGTGCCGCGACGCCCTCTCGCGAACCGAAAACGGCCAATTCGCAAATCGACCTTCCGGTTCAAAGTCCGTTTGTGGAAGGACATGCCCGACCCGGCCCCCTGGCCCTGACCTGAAGTCGGGCCTGTCCCTCTACAGGAGGAATCTTCAGAGATAGTACAACATATAGCAAGTGGGCGATGCTTTCGATCATTTTCGAGTATATGTTTCCACATTTCTTGAATGTGTTATATTTTTCGTCCCAAATTCGCCTGTGGGAGGACAGGATCGACCCAGCCCCCCGGCCCTGAACTACAGTCGGGCCTGTCCCTCTACAGGAGGAACCTTCAGAAATAGTACAACAGATAGTCAGGGGACGATGCTTTCGACTATTTTCTATGTTCTCCGATACGTTTGGAATATGTTTTATTTGTCCTTCAAGATCCGCCTGTGGGAGGACATTCGGAGGTTGATAGACCTCCTACCCTGACACGTCGATTCAGGAATTGGCCGTTTTCGGTTCGCGAGAGGGCGTCGCGGCCGTCGGTTCTGCGGGTCCAGGTCCGCCGGTTACGGTCCTAGGCCGTTTCAACCAAGGGGAGGTTTGCTGAAGGGAGGCGTGTCCACCGCCGAGACATGCCCGACCCAACCCTGAACCCTCCCCCAGGGTTATGATGCTCCAACGTACTTTAGCCTCGACTGTCAGAAAGAATTTCGAGCGCCCGAAAAATACCCAAACTCAAGGATGGGAACAACATAGCCCCAGGGTCGATTCCGTATGGCAGGTCCCTGTCGTGTCGGCCCTGCGGCGAGGAGGAGGAGGAGGAGGAGGAGGAGGAGGAGGAGGAGGAGGAGGAGGAGGAGGACGGAGGGAAGAGGAGGAGGAGGAGGAGGAGGAGGAGGAGGAGGAGGGAGGGAGGAGGAGGAGGAGGAGGAGGAGGAGGAAGGAGGAGGAGGGAGGAGGAGAGGAGGAGGAGGAGGAGGAGGAGGTAGGAGGGGAGGAGGAGGGAGGACGAGGAGGAGGAGGAGAGAGAGAGAGGGGGAGGAGGGGGAGGGCGATGGGCGCTCCACGTGGAAGGCCGTCCGCGGCCCAGAAGCGCTCGACGACGAGCGAGCGGACGCTGCGGCAGCGGCCGATCGCTCGGGCTCGCACGGCCCCCGCGGTGCCAGGAACCTGCGCCCGGGTCGATACGGCGCACGAGCCCGCCGTAAGTGCTCCGCAGAGTCGCTCTCTGAGGCTCCCGGGGCCCGCTGCTGCTGGCCTCCGCGGGCGAAACACTGAGTAGGGGGCCACGTGCGAAGCCTACCCCTACCCCCCACGATTTCTGGGGGGGAGGGTTCGCATGTGGCCGCATGTGGCCCCCTACTGAGACAGACGGGGCCGCTTCGCGATTTTGGCGCGCCGGATGTCCGGGACGGGTGGCTCCATGCCGAGGGCCACCCCGTAGAGCCGAGAAGGCCCGCCGTCGTGCTTTAAATTCCGCTGCGCGAGGGGGCCTTTGGCCTGGCCCGGGCTTTTTGCCGGGCCATAGTGCGGAGCCCGGGCCCCAGCGCGGCGCTGCGGCGCCCCCCTCCTTCGTGCCCCGGGCCCGCGGGGCCCCCAGGGCTTCCAGGCCCAGCTTCCCGACTCTTGTTTTTTGTGCATAGCATCAAGTCGGGCCTGTCCCTCTACAGGGGGAATAGTCAAAAATAGTCAAAAAATAGTATGGGAATATTTTTTGAGTATGTTTTGACTATTTGGGGGTATTTTTGGGGTATTTTTATTCTTCGTCGAAAATCCCCCTGTAGGGGGACAGGCCCGACTTAATCATAGCATCATCCCCAGAGGCCTCAGCCCATGCCCCTGGACCGGCTTCTCACTACGGGTCCTTCTGTTTGACGGCCCAGGGGCCCGGTGAGGGACCTCCGAGGCCGACGATAGCCCAAAGCCTCCCGCCGTGGCTCTTGTGCGACTCGAGGGGGTGGGGAGAGGCCCAGATTCGATGGCGCGCCCGGGGGCGAAGCGAGAGGGGGCGGGCCTTTCCAGAAGGCTCAGAAGCCCTCCGGCCTCCAGCGAAGTTTTTCAAGCCTTCCCCAGAGACACAAGACACTGTTCAGAAGGCCCCGGAGGGCTTCTGAGAAGCCCCGCCGCCTTCTGAGGCTTTCCCCTCCTCGCTTCCTCCCCTCGCTCGCCGCCGACAGGTGGACGACGCGCAAAAACGGGATCTTCTGCGCCGACGTCCGCGCGTAAGCTGCCCGCGCAAGGTCGCGCGCAAGCGCCCTCGTCTCCAACAAAGCGTGCCGCGCTGGCGGCCCGCGTATAAGCCACCGCGTAAGGCCGCTGCGACACCTCGCGTAAGACCCGCTTCTTTTCGCCGCCCAGATGGCCTCCAGAACCCCCGAGGGGCCACAAACCAGGCATCTGGCCGCTCCATTTTTTTCGATGCGTGGGCCCTGGAGGTCTGGACCACACCCCCAGGGCTGGTTTCTCGTTCCGAGCCGTTGTTGACAGTCCCGATGCCCAGCGAAGGCCCCCGGAGACCGAGAACAGCATGAAACCAGCCGCTCCAATTTTTTCTGAGCCCCGAGTTCCGCCGTTGCCAAAAATTGCAACATCGCAAAAAATCACGACCAGAGCCCCAGACCCCATCTTTCTGCGTCCTCTTTCGAGCCGGATCGATTTGTGAGGGTCCCGGGGCCTGAAATTGAGCGAAAACGCCGGTCGTGAATCGGGCATGTCGCACTACACGAGGAAGCATCAAGAATAGTCATAAAATTATGTGGGGACGGTTTGCCGTGATTTTTGTTGCGCGACTATTCTATATGTTTGATGATTTGCCTTTTTTACGAGATAAATCCGCCTGTAGGAGGACATGCCCGACCTAGCCTTCTACCGTGCCTCCGGCGCCGTCAAGAACCCTGATGGTCCGCTACCGAAAATTTCCGGTAGCGCTCCGCAGAGATCGGTCGCTACCGAAATACCGAAATGTAGCGCCCAATACCAGTATCAGACCGTTCTGAAATCCGCTATCTCAACGCCCTCAAACGAAGATCCGGTCGCTACCGAAATTCGGGGTGCGTCGAAATCGCTACCGAAAATTTCCGGTACCAGACCATCTGGGAACCGACTGGGGATGAAAAGCCGGTCCCGGGGAGGGGGTCCAGACCTCCTGGGGGTCGCGCCGTGCAGAAGTCGGGGCGCCGGGGGGCCGGACAGGACCGGACCGTCGGCGCTCCCGACGTCGCGGTTCCTCCGGCATCCTGTCGAGGGTTTCTCTCCCATTCGCTTCTTGTTCCCCGGGTGACTGGGCATTGGTTTGGGGGTATCGTCGTGGGTAAGTAGTGGTTCTAGTCGCGGTCTAGTCGCGGTCTAGTCGTGTTCTAGTCGCGTTCTAGTCGCGTTCTATCCCAGGCATCCTGTCGAGGGTTTCTCTCCCACTCGCTTCTTGTTCCCCGGGTGACTGGGCTCTTGACGTGGCCCCCCGGGAGCATTCGACACCTCCCGCGTGGGAGGGTCTTCGTCCTGCACAGCTGTCGGTGGTCCAAGGGGGCCCAGAACGGGCCCCCGGAGGCACTTTTTCCGTTTTTCATGCTCAAGACGTCGTAGTCTTCGTCGTCGACGACGACGGCGACGCCCTCCCCAGGTGTGGCACCCGCCAGAGGCTGTCTCCTCTCGGATCCGGGGCCTGCTGGACGACAGCAGGGAGCTCGGTCTGGCCGAGAGGAGGCCAAGGGACGAGAAACTTTGGTGGCAAAGAGAGCCCAGATTCAGGAAGGCCGCCACCACCACTTGGACGCGTAGCAGGTGTGGGGCCAGGGGCGGTCACAGAATACCCTTGTCTGTGGTGTTTTCGCGGGGCGTCCTGCACATCTGCGTCCCGCAGAGCAGCAGCTCCAGCACTTCTCCCGCATTGTGGTTTGCTCGTCCTGATGCGGTCCGGAAGGTTTGCTCAGCGTGTCGAGCCGACGGTTCTGGCTCATCACGCCTCGGCGGGACACGCTAACCACGTTCCAGTCACCCAGCGTCAGCGTCTGGAGCTTTTCCTAGCCTCCCGTCCCGCGAAGCGGAGCAGCACGCTTTCTGCCTGCAAGGCATAGCGCATAGCGTGTCGCCGGGGCCGCCGCCGCGACACGTCAAGGAATAGTTATTGTCCGTATAGAGGTGTGACGTTCCCGCTGCCGAACATATGTATTCACTTGTTTGTGCATATGTATAACTAGATGCACATATATACACCTCCTCAGCAGAGCCTGCGATAAAGAGCGAGGCCAGCGCAAGGGCCCGACGCGGTCAGGCAGGGAGGGGGGGGGAGCACGACCGAGTCAGGAACTGTCGGGAGCATTGGCCGCTCTGTAAATCTGTGGCGGCGCCATGAAGGTAGGCACAAGTCAGGAGCGAAACATCGACGCACGGGTGCGTGAATTCTTGCGGGGTCCTCGGCGAGTGCCTGCGTGGGGGATTTGCCGTCGCAGGGTGATCTTTTTCGTAGTGCTCGATGTCTGTAGTTGCCGTGGTCGTGCGTGCCTCACTGGGGATGGGTGGGCGTCGTGCCTCGCGGAAAAGCCTGAAGCCGCATGGGAGTCAGAGGGCTGGGTTGACCCTCTGCGTTGAAACCCCCTGTCTGGCCCCCGGACAAGGGGTTGAACGCAGGCGGTCGGCCTGACCTTCTCTGCCCTGACCCTCTTTGGAGCCCTCCAATACTCGCCGGTCGATGAAAGCCGTTTTTTTGACTCCCAGGTATACCAGTCTGCTTTAGGCGCCTTCTGACTTCATGGGCCGAGTGGTTTTTACCTAACAGCTCTTGCTGATAGGTTTCTAGTGGTTTCAAAAGAGAGCATCATGACTCCTCAGGGGGGTCTGGGCGGGACCCGGACAGGCTGCCGCCGCGGCTGCCGCCGCACTCGTTTTTGCAAACAGTCACACACTTCGTGCTCTTCGACCTCCCAGAACTCCATTCCCGGGCCACATTCTGAATGCCCGGAGCCAACTGTAGGCCACTTCGTGCTCTTCGACTTCCCAGAACTCCATTCCCGGGCCACATTTTGGATGCCCGGAGCCAACTGTAGGCCACTTCGTGCTCTTCGACTTCCCAGAACTCCATTCCCGGGCCACATTTTGGATGCCCGGAGCCAACTGTAGGCCACTTCGTGCTCTTCAAGTTCCCAGAACTCCATTCCTGGGCATGATTTTGAATGCCCGGAGCCAACTGTAGGCCACTTCGTGTTCTTCTAGTTCCCAGAACTCCATTCCTGGGCCACATTTTGAATGCTGAGGCAGGCTGATGCTGCGGCCGAGGCAGGCTGAGGCTGAGGCAGGCTGAGGCTGAGGCCGAGGCTGAAGGCAGACTGAGGCTGAGGCTGAAGCAGGCTGAGGCTGAGGCTGAGGCAGGCTGAGGCTGAGGCTGAGGCAGGCTGATGCTGAGGCAGGCTGAGGCTGAGGCTGAGGCTGATGCAGGCTGAGGCTGAGGCAGGCTGAGGCTGAGGCCGAGGCTGAAGGCAGACTGAGGCTGAGGCTGAAGCAGGCTGAGGCTGAGGCTGAGGCAGGCTGAGGCTGAGGCAGGCTGAGGCTGAGGCTGAGGCAGGCTGAGGCTGAGGCTGTGACTGCGACTGCCGTTGCCGCTGCGACTGTCTTCGCGAATGCGACTACGACTGCGAGAACAGCAGAATTCTACAACTGGATTTTCATCTGAATCTTAAGGGGAATGCTTTCATATATGCTTCTACACATCGCTGTTAGGTTGCTTTGCCGGGATAATTTCTTCTTCCCTTCCTCTTCAGGGGGCGCACCGGAAGCCCAATCTACTACCAGCGCCCTCCTTTCTTTCGGGTCTGCCCAGCTCTTCCGACCGGCAGGAACTCATGTGCGTGACTGAGCGCGCGCGTGCTCTCTGTGCTCCGTCACCAGGGGCCAGCGACAGCCGGCGGCAGGTGCCAGGGCGCAGGGGCAGCTGGGGGCCCAGGGACACGCCGCAGGGACGCTGGCAGGACGGCAGCACCAGGGCCGGGGGCAGTCGGGGACAGGCTCGGCGGGAGGAGGAGGAGGAGGAGGAGGAGGAGGAGGAGGAGGAGGAGGAAGGAGGAGAGGAGGAGAGGAGGATGATCACGATGAATGATGCTGCTGAGGGGAGAGGAGGAGGAGGAGGAGGAGGTAGGAGGATGAGGAGGGAGGAGAGGTGAGGAGAAAGAGGAGGAGGAAAGGCGGAGGAGGAGGAGGATGATATTGAGTCGAGGAGGAGGAGGAGGAGCAAGAGGAGGAGGAGGAGGAGGAGGAGGAGGAGGAGGAGGAGGAGGAGGAGGAGGAGGAGCTGGAAGGAGCATCCCCAACAAACAGCATCCCCACCAGCTCGAAGTTCGAAGCAGGAATGAGGAATGAGGAAGATGGCGGGAGGTGGTGGAGAAGAGGCCGAATCCTGCTACCAGAGATGCTTGCTCAACCGAAAACATGTCCGTACATCTTCTCCTTCTGCGTTTTCTCTTTCTTGCCCTCTTTTTGTTGTTCCTTCTCCCTCTTCCCCCCTCCTCCCTCTCCCCCCTCTCCCTCCTCCTGCCTTCATTTCTCCTCTCTTCTCCTCCCTTGGCGATTGCTCCCCCTGTCGTCCGACCCCTGTTGGAGGAGGCAGTCTCCAGTGTCTCGCGTGTCAGCGTGTCCTCTCGCGGAGCCCTGCCACGTCCGAGCGCTCCCCCCCCCCCTCCTCCCCCCGCGCGGCCGCCCCGGGTCTTCCCTCCCCTCGTCTCTCGCACGCCGGACAACTTGCATTTCGGTCGCACCGAGTAGCCGCGCGCTGGAGCGGACTGCCTCTGCCACGCCGCCGACGCACAGCAAGCGGCAGCGTGCCCAGCGATGCCTTTCTCCCAGGAGGCGGAGGGCGGAGGGGCAGGCGCGAGGGCGTGCGCCCGCCCTGGCTCCCAGGCGGCTGGGCGAGGTCCCGGGGCCCCTGCTGCCCCCGGAGCTGGAGGAGGCGCGCTAGCGCGTGGGGGCGCGCGCGCGCGCCCTTGCTCCTCCTCCTCCTCCTCCTCCTCTCTCTCCTCCTCCTCCTCCTCCTCCTCCTCTCCTCCCTCCTCTCCTCTCCCTCCTCCTCCTCCTCCTCCTCCTCCTCCTCCTCCTCCTCCCTCCTCCTCCTCCTCCTCCTTCCTCATCCTCCTCCTCCTCCTCCTCCTCCTCCTCCTCCTCCTCCTCCTCGTCCTCCTCCTCGTCTCCTCCTCGTCTCCTCGTCTCCTCCTCCTCCTCCTCCCTCCTCCTTCCTCCTCCTCGTCTCCTCCTCCTCCTCCTCCTCTTCTTCTCTTCCTCCTCCTCCTCCCCTTCATGCTTCATGCCTTCCACTGTATAAGGACTCTTCCTTGTGACACCTCCAGACGTATCGTTAAGGCGGGTGGGCGTTTCGCTTGAGACTTCCCCACCACCTATGATCATGGAGCTTGAAGCCTGCAACAGTTTCAAGGATGGAGGGCGGTTGGTTGTTCAACATGTGACCTTCACCGTAGCGCCCCGCGCATGACTCTTGAAAGCTTGCAACAGGTTCCAGGATGGAGGGCGGATGGTTTTCAACATGTGGTTCTCGCCTCATCGCCGCGCACATTCGGCTTGCACATTGCACAGAAGCTTCAAGGATGAAGGGCGGTTCTTTTCTAACATGTGCCTTTCGCCTTAGCGCGCGCACAGCCGTTAAAGTTTACAGCAGGTTCAGGGATGGAAGGCGGTTCCTTTTCAAAATGGGGTTTCTGTCTTAGCGCCGCGCTTGCAACAATTGGAAGGGTTCGTAGGGTTGAAGTCCCAGGACTTGTGTTCTGGCACGCTTTAGGAAAGTCAGGGCGCAACCGTCACGTTTTTTGCCGGTACTGAAGTACCACGAACGGTATGCTGGCACGATCACGTATACGGTTTCCAGAACGCGACGATCACGTTGATGCGCAGCGTTGTTGAAGTCCTAGGACTCGCTTATTTGTTTTGCCATGGTTGAAGATTATCACACGGTTGTTCTGCAATGGGGGACTTCCTGCAGCGAGAGCAGCTTCTTGCAGGGGCTTGTGAAGAGAGGATTTGGAGGGAGGACCTGTTGCAACATCGTTGTGCGTCTTGGGTTCACGCTGGCCCTCCTGTCCCCTGCTTCTGCTGCCCCGTGCCGCCCTTCTCCCGCCCTCCGCCCTCTGCCGCTGCCTCCGCTGCCTCCGCGGCCGCTGGCGCCGCTGCCGCACGCGGCAGCTGCCGCTGCTGCCGCCGCCGGCGCTGCTCGCTCCTCCCGCCGCCGCTGCTCGCTGCCGCCGATGCCCTCGGCTGCCGCCGCCGCTGCTTGCCGCCGCCACCGCGATGCGGCTGCTGCCGCCGCCGCCGCCGCTGCTCGCTGCCGCCGCCGCATGCAGCCGCCGCCGCCGCCGCCGCTGCTCGCCGCCGCCGCCGCAGGCGGCCGCCGCCGCCGCCGCTGCACGCGGCCGCCGCCGCCGCCGCCCTGCGGCGCAGGCGGTCGCGGCGCACTGGGCGGCGCAGGCCGGGCGGCTGGACTGGCAAGGCCCTCGGGGGAGGAGGGTGTGCAACCGCCAACACCAACCGCCTCGCTCCTTCTCGCCCCGGTTTTTGCAATGTCGTCCGCCCAGGTGTAGATCAGCAAGGGGTCGTCGCGCTTCCAGACGCAGCGTCGGCGATCCGCAACAGCATTCAAAATGCAGCAGCACACTGTTCAGCGGAGTGGCACAATCGCCAGGCGGCACAATCGCGAAGCGGCATACTTTTCAGCGGAGCGGCACACTGTCCGCACAGACCCAGGCGGAACCGGCACAATCGCGAGTGTAATCATTCTCTTCCTTAAAGGGTGTCCGCGTTTGCGGTTGGTTTCGTTCGATTCGTTCGGTTCGTCGGTTATCGTGTCGTTGATGCGTCGCTGCGTCCTCCTGGGCTGCTTGCAGCCCGTCGGTTACGCTCGGCTTCGGTTCTGTTGTTGGTTCAGTCAGGCTGGTATTTTTTGTTGTCGCCGCGGGCGGACTCGTCCTCCCTCGAGAGACTGGCGTCGATCTCCTCCTTCTCACTGGCAGCTCTCCCACTCGAGCCCGGGAACCCCCACGGATGGGCCTGGCCTGAGAAGCGCCCCATGAAGATGGTGAGGGCAAGACCCTCGGTGCTCCCCCTCGCCCTCCTCCTTCTGCTTCGACGTTTCTGGTTGTTTTTTAGTTCCCTGTCGCCGTCGTCGGGGGCGGCATCGCCGCTGGTTCCCCCTAAGACCCCTCCAGGGCGCGCTTGGACCAGAACCTCGAAGTCCAGCCGCGGCGACGAGAAGCCTCTGGGAGCCTGGAAGAGGGCGAACAATCACCCCAAAGCGTCGATCCCCGACCCACGTCCCTCGAACCTCGATCCTCGATCCTCGATCCTCGATCCTCGCTCCTCGACCCTCGACCCTCGATCCTCGATACTCGACCCTCGGTCACGGAGCGATCCCCCAGCCTCTCCCTGGCCAGAACCTCGATAGGCGGATGCGGCCGGGCTGCCCGACGGCCTGCGCGGCCCCTCGGACCTCGACCCCCCCGGAGGCAGAGGGCCGCCATATAGCGACGCCGCGCGGCCAGGCGGGCCCGGCCGTGGCGACGAGGAGCCCCGCCCGCCCGACACCGCACGTCGGGGCCCGCCCGCCCG